TTGCAGAATGGATATTGTGCTAGCAGGCATGAAAACAACATTTATCTCCTTGAACATCTTCATCAGAGGTCTTGGGTGACCAGCTGCTTTGTTAATGAATAGTAATACATTGAAAGGGATCTTTTGGCTGGGCACAGTGGCTCACACCTGTAATCCCAGCACTTTGGGAAGCCGAGGCAGGCAGATCACGAGGTCAGGAGTTCGAGAGCAGCCTGACCAACATGGTGAAAGCCGGTCTCTACTAAAAATGCAAAAAAATTAGCTGGGCATGGTGGCACACGCCTATAATCCCAGCTACTTGGGAGGCTGAGGCAGGGAAATTGCTTGAACTAGGGAGGTGGAGGTTGCAGTGAGCTGAGCTCACACCACTGCACTCCAGCCTGGGTGACAGAGCAAGACTCCGTCTCAAAAAGCAAAAAAATGAAAATAAAAGGAATCTTTTTTTCTGAACAGTGGGTCTCGGCAATGGGCCTAAAATATTAAGTAAACCATGCTGCAAACAGATGTGCTGCCATCCAGGCTTTGTTTTGTTTGTTTGTTTGTTTGTTTGTTTGTTTGTTTGTTTGTTTTGAAAGAGGGTCTCATTATGTTGCCCAGGCTAGAGTGCAGTGACATGATCTTAGCTCACTGCAGCCTCAACCTCCCAGGCTCAGGTGATCCTCCCATACCAGAGTCCCAAGTAGCTGGGACCACAGGCATGTACTGCCATACCCAGCTAATTTTTGTAATTTTTGTAGAGACAGGGTTTCACCACATTACCCAGGCTGGGCTCCAACCCATGGGCTCAAGCTATCCACCTGCTTTAGCCTTCTAAACTGCTGGGATTACAGGCATGAGCCACCACAACTTGCCTTGTTATTTGTAGAGTAGAGGCAGAGTAGATTTAGCATAATTCTGAAGGGCCCTAGGATTTTCAGAATGATCATGAGCATTGGCTTCAACTGAAAGTTACCAGCTACATTAGCCCCTAACAAGAGAGTCATCCTACCCTTTGAGGCTTTGAAGCCAGGCATTGGCTTTGCTCTAGAGAAGTCCTTAGATAATCTCTTCTTCAAATGTAAGGCTGTTTGAGCTACATTAAAAATCTGTTGTTTGGTGTAGCCACCTCCATCAATTATCTTAGCTACCTCTTTTGGATTACGTCTGCGGCTTCTTCATCAACACTTGCTGCTCCATCTTGCACTTCTATGTTACAGAGATGGCTTCCTTCCTTAAACCTCATGAACCAACCTCTGCTACCTTCAAGCTTTTCTCCAGCTGCTTCCTCATCACTTCCAGCCTTCATAGAAGTGAGGAGAGTTAAGACCTTGCTCTGGGTTAGGCTTTGGCTAAGGGAATGTTGTAGCTGGTTTGATCTATGTAGGCCACTAAAACTTTCTTCACATCAGCAATAAAGCTGTTTTTCTTGTATTTATGTTTTCACTAGAGCAACACTTTTAATTTCCTTCAAGAACTTTTCTTTTACATTTACAACTTGGATAACTGCATAGTGCAACGAACTTAGATTTCAGCCTATCTTGGCCTTCCTCACTAAGCTTAATCATTTCTAGCTTGTGACGTAAAGTAAAATTTAAAGTGATTTAAGGTACAGATCTTCCTTTCACTTGAACACTTAGATGCCATTGTAGGGTTATTAATTGGCCTAATTTCAACATTGCAGTGTCTCAAGAAATAGGAAAGCCCAAGGAGCAATAGACAGAGGGGAGAACAGCTGGTCAGTGGAACAGTCAGAAAACACACAACATTTACCAATTAAGTTTACATTGTATATGGGCCCAGTTCATGGTGCCCCAAAACAATTACAATACTAACAGATCACCATAACAGCTATAATGATAATAATGAAAAAAATTGAAATATTGTGAGAATGACGAAATGTGACACAGAGACACAAAGTGAGCACATACTGCTGGAAAAATGGCACCAACAGACTTGCTCGATGCAGGGTTGCCACAAACCCTCAATTTGTCAAAAACACAGTATCTGTGAGGTGCAATAAAGCAAAGCACAGTAAAATGAGAAATACGTGTATAACTACCTTGGAGACCACAAACTGCAAGAGGGCAGGGACTGTGTCTATCTCATTCATGATTGTAATCCCAGATCTTAGCAATATTTCTGCCAGTTAGTGCCCAATAAATATGTAGTGAATGGATAGATGGGGCATCTCCAAGGAAGGAGGGAATGAATGGATGAGCATGGGTTAATGAATGAGGTAAGAATGAATATGAAATAAGGATTCATCCATTAAAAACTAGGGGACAAGTTTCAGTTCATTGGATTTGGCCCACAGACAGTTTTGTGACTGAATTCTAAGGATGAGGAGAGTTGAGGATACCAAGTACTTTGGTTTCCCTGAGCAATGAAAGAGTGATTCTGGGAAGCAGAGTGTGGACAGTTCCAACTCCCTGCCAAGGGGAAGCTCATAGGTAAGGAAGCTCACCCCAGAGAGGATATGGAGGTTCCATACCATTTTGTCTGAAGAGCCTAAGTCACTGTTTTCAGGTCGTTAGGAAGTTAAAGAGTAATTTGGAGATTATCAGAACTGACTGAATTGAGTTTGAACCTCGCCTATTGCAACAGTGGGCCAGGCTGCTTGCCTAACACCTTGGCATCAATGGTACAGCTTTCTCTTTCTTGAGCTGCTGGCAGGAACCTGGCCTTACAGGTCTCAGAAAGCCCTTAGTCAATGACCCTGATCTTATCTCAGGGTCCCAAGCCAGGGCAGCTGTCAGAGAGGGTCCCCACTGCATTCTGCACCTAGATCCTCATTGTGAAATGAAGTGATTGGGGGAGGTCCCTATTGTCTCTGACGTTTTACAATTCCAGGATTCTGTCTTCTTGTCAGAGAAGTGTATAGGCAAAGCAGTCGGGCAGGTGAGATGTCTCCACGTGAGAGGCTCGGAGATTGAGGGCTAAGCCTCTGCTTGAAGACTCCTCATCTAGGAAGCTCTATGGGCCCCCTGAGATGAATTCATTCACGCTAATACTAAAGAAGAAAATCAAATAATAACAATAATAGTCAAAAAAAAACCTCGTAATTTGTAGTTGCTATAAAGTAAATTTTGCTGTGTTATATGTTGTAATATCTCCCCAGCTCTGTTTAAGGTAGAATATTAAACTGCCTTCCTGCAAATCATTTAACCTATATCTATCCTCCCCACATACTCAGCAAAGTTCCCAGGCATCTAGAAATTCCTGTTTTTCTTTCTGACCAGCTGCAAAGTCACAGGGCGGATAGAAACTGCAGAATGTTGTAACTGGGGCATGGGAACAGGTTGCAGGGGCGTCCCAAAGGGCGCTCACTGTTCCCTGATCAGATGTGTTTTTCCCAGGTCCTTGGGCTCTCACTCACGCAAGAATGGGTAGGAGACCCTGGCGGCATAGTGATATTGTTAAAATAGATATCGGACACAAAGGGCTTTGCAGAAAAGTGATTTATTATGCAGAGAGAGAGAAAGAGAAATATATATACAGAGAGAGGGCTCCCACGCCGCGTGGGAGGGGATCCTAGAGAGGGAAATCCATATAGGTAAGGGAGTAGAGGGGATTTTAACCCCGGAGTTACTCCTGCCCCATTCAAGTTCTCGTCCAGTGAGAGGAGCTTTTCCAAACTTCCTCTGAAGTTATTGACCTTTAACTCTGATGCTGGATTGGCTGCCTGACTTGCAATAGAGCCCCTCTTTCCAAGGATTTTGGCAGGCTTTCTAAACAAAGGAAGCTCACCTGGGCAGTCTACCTAGGCTGCATGTGCAAAAGTTAGACAAAGAACTCTAGGCTCCTGGAGAGGGAGGTGGATGGAGGTATGGCACCGGGAAGTTCTTGCCTTTGAAACCACGCCCCTTGTGGACTTGGGAAGAGAAGTTAACACAGTCCCTCAATGCGGTTATCAAAATGCTAGTTTTCAAATGTAAAGTACATCACAAGACATGTCACAAGCTAATTAACCCTTATTTGTTCTGGTGTCTGTACCTGCTGTGTCATCCTAGGTGCATAAAAAATGCCCCATTTTCTTTGTCCTTTGCTCAGAATTAGGAAGCAATTCTGCTGAGCCCATGATCACTTTAAATAAAATCCTCCTTCAACCCCATCAGATTCTCCAGATCTCTCATTTCCCACTACAATATACCCCCAGATGGAGTCAACACCCTCTCCACCAGCTCAGCCTTCTCAGCATCTAAAGCTTCAGCATTGATGCCCCTTTTCTTTGGGTTAAGAGTCAGAGCTCTTGTGGAAGGGCATATATTCATTCTTTACTTGCCTTTGACTGTGTACTCTACACATGGAGATAGGAGCAGACATGACTTCAATAAGGCCATGCCCCCTTGGCAAGCATCTTTGAGACCAGAGAGGAAGACAGACTTGGAAAAGGATGAGGAGATAAGCATGGGGCTGCTATGGGGCCCAGGGAAGCAGGCAGAGGTAAAAGAGAAGGTTCAGGATACTAACTGACATGCATGGACCACTAACATGAACCAGGGACTATTCTAAGTGCTTTTCAGGTTTTATCACTTTTTGCCTCACAACAGCACCTATGAGGCACTATAATTATACCCACTTAACAGGATTCACAGATGAAGGAATGGAGGCACAGTGAAGTCACGTAACTTGACCAAGGGGGCCAACTAGGAATGGCGTTTGTTGAGTCTTTCAAGAATGAGGAAAGAGTGGATGTGAAATTTTGTGTTTGATGCATTTCTACTGAATGAACTGGCAAATAAATAAACGCATGAGTAAATGAGGGTATAACTAGTCAACCACAGGGGTGGGAGTGGGCTCAAGGCAGGCTGAGAGAGAAGGTGCCAGAGCTGAGTCTGAAAAGGTCAGAGCAAAGCAGGAAGCTAGTGAGCAGCTGTGATAGCTGGAGGCCTGTCTGAGCTTTCTCGTAGTTACCTCCTCCTCCCCCATGTGACCAGAGTCAGCCAATTATTACGTACAGGGAACATTTTGCTTCCAAATACTGTCTCGCTACGGTTATTTACCATAACTCGCAGCCACAGGGCAAGGTCCAGGTCCTCAGACCTTTACATCCTGGACTTTCCAAGTCCTCCCAAAGCTCTCTGGCACGTAGGGAACAGTGTGTGTCAAGAGCTTCATCTGCAGCAGCATAGCCATGGTGCTCTGGGGTCCAGTGCTGGGAGCTCTGCTGGTGGTCTTTGTAGGATACCTTTGCCTGCCAGGGATACTTCGACAACGCAGGCCCTGGGAACCCCCTCTGGACAAGGGCACCATGCCCTGGCTTGGCCATGCCATGGCTTTCCGGAAGAATATGTTTGAATTTCTGAAGCGCATGAGGACCAAGCATGGAGATGTGTTCACAGTGCAGCTAGGGGGCCAGTACTTCACCTTCGTCATGGACCCCCTCTCTTTTGGTCACATCCTCAAGGATGCACGGAGAAAACTAGATTTTGTTGAATATGCAAAAAAACTGGTGCTGAAGGTATTTGGATACCGTTCAGTGCAAGGGGACAACGAGATGATACACTCAGCCAGTACCAAGCATCTGATGGGGGATGGCTTGAAGGATCTTAATGAGGTCATGCTGGACAGCCTGTCCTTTGTAATACTGAAGTCCAAAGGCCGGAGTCTGGATGCCAGTTGCTGGCATGAGGACAGCCTCTTTGACTTCTGCTATTACATCTTGTTCACAGCTGGCTACCTGAGCTTGTTCGGCTACACGAAGGACAAGGAGCAGGACCTGCTACAGGCAGGAAAGTTATTCAAGGAGTTCCGAAAGTTTGACCTTCTTTTCCCCAGGTTTGTCTACTCCCTGCTGTGGCCTCGGGAGTGGCTAGAAGTGGGCCGACTCCAGCGTCTCTTTCACAAGATGCTCTCTGTGAGACACAGCCAGGAGAAGGATGGCATCAGCAACTGGCTGTGCAACATGCTTCAGTTTCTGAGGGAGCAGGGAGTCCCCTCAGCTATGCAGGACAAGTTCAACTTCATGATGCTCTGGGCCTCCCAGGGAAACACGGGGCCTGCCTCTTTCTGGACCCTCTTGTTCCTCCTGAAACACCCAGAAGCCATTCGGGCTGTGAGGGAGGAAGCCACCCGGGTCCTGGGCGAGGCCAGGCTGGAGACCAAGCAGCCCTTTGCCTTCAAACTCAGCGCCCTGCAACACACCCCAGTCCTGGACAGTGTGGTGGAGGAGACACTGCGGCTGAGGGCTGCACCCACCCTCCTCAGGATGGTTCATGAAGACTATACCCTGAAGATGGCCAGTGGGCAGGAATATCTGATCCGCCATGGAGACATCCTGGCCCTCTTTCCCTACCTCTCCGTGCACTTGGACGCTGACATCCACCCTGAGCCCACTGTCTTCAAGTACGATCGCTTCCTCAACCCTGATGGCAGCCGGAAAGTGGACTTCTTCAAGGCAGGCAAGAAGACCCACCACTACACCATGCCCTGGGGTTCGGGTGTTTCCATCTGCCCTGGGAGGTTCTTTGCACTCAGTGAGGTGAAGCTCTTTATCCTGCTTATGGTCACACACTTTGACTTAGAGTTGGTGGACCCTGATGCACCAGTGCCCCACGTGGACCCGAAACGCTGGGGCTTTGGCATGATGCAGCCCATCCACGACGTGCGCTTCCGCCACCGCCTGCATCCAACAGCGTGAGCTCGGCCAAGCCAGCTGCAAAACTGGCCAGAGGGATTCTATTGGGTCTCTCACCACTTCTCACCCCTCTGCAGCCCCAAGCCCCCACTGACCACCCCTCCCTCTAGTTCTGCGTCACTCCTACCTCTGTTCTCCCTGTCCTCGCTCTCTCCCTGCCTAGTCATCTGACAGGCTTATCAGTCCCTCTTTAAAATACCATCTCTCAGAGTGGGTTCTGCTGACCCATCCTCTCACAGGAAGTCCAGTGGAAGGGGGGGTGCCTGTGGGCAGCTTGGCTTGGGAGATGATGCCTGCCTTGGGAAGTCCTGTAGGACAGAAGCTGGTTCCTCCCAGACAGGAGTAACATGGCATCTTGCAAACGTCAGCCTCCACCCTCCCAACCTTGCTTTATTTTTTTCAGCAACACTTATTCTACATCCTATGGAATTCAGGTTCTAGAACAGTGCTATCCAATAGAAATATGACACAAGCTACATGTATAGTGGGTTCTTTGGGGTGTCTGTTTGTTTTGAGACAGAGTCTCACCCTGTGCCTCAGACTGGAGTGCAGTGGTGCTGCTCCCTGCAACCTCCACCTCCCGGGTTCAAGCGATTCTCCTGCCTCAGCCTCCCGAGTAACTGGGATGTCAGGTACATGCCACCTCACCCAGCTAATTTAGTTTCCTAGCAAACACACTTTTTAAAAGTAAAATGAAACAATTCATTTTTATAATATACTCTACTTAATCCAATATATCCAAAATATTAGCATTTCAACATGATCACGATTGAAGATTGTAACAAAATAGTTTTGACATTCCCTTTCCACCCGGTCTTCAACATCTAGTATGTAGTGTCCTCTTGCAGCTCTTCTCAGCCCAGACTAGCCACATTCCAAGTGCTCAAGGGCCATGTGTGCCCTATTGGATAGCACAGGTCTAGAGAAATGATGCCTTTTGTTTTGTTTTGGTTTGGTTTGGTTTTTTTTGAGACAGAGTCTCGCTCTGTTGCTCAGGCTGCAGTGCAGTGGTGTGATCTTGGCTCACTGCAACCTCTGCCTCCTGGGTTCAGATAATTCTCCTGCCTCAGCCTCCTGAGTAGCTGGGACTACAGGTGTGCACCACCACACCTGGCTAGTTTCTGTATTTTTAGTAGAGATGAGGTTTCACCATGTGGACCAGGCTAGTCTTGACCTCCTGACCTAAGGTGATCCACCCTCCTCAGCCTCCCAAAGCTCCGGGATTACAGGCATGAGCCATTGCACCCAGCCAGGATGTCTTTAACATAGGAATTATTCAAGATCCCTCCTCAGTGCCCATGTCTCCCCCACCCCAGGGTGATCTGAACCCTCCCTTGGTTTCCATGATCATTGCTGAACTCAAAGCTTTCCCCTGCCCCCAGACATCCAGACCCCCATGGGAGTCTCCTAGCACCTCTGACTCAGCTTGGCCAATGCAGAACTTGGCATCTGAGCCCCTGACGCTTCCCTGAATCACTCCTCCTCCTGATTTCCCTGCTCTCTCTGCTCAGAACCCTACCATTCACCCCATCTCCCAAAGCAGATACCAGAGACGCCCTCACTCCCTCCTCCTCTTTCACCCTCATACAAGCAGGCGCCCATGCTGTCAGCACAACCCCATGTGATGCCTCTGAAATGTGTCCCCTCTTCCCTTCTCCTACTGTCATTCTTATACCTGCGACCTCTGCATTTCTCTTCTACACTGCTGTCAGAGACCTTTTGCCAAAAGCACTCCTGATTGTCTCTCTTTCGCTCTTCTGGTTCCCCTCTGACTTCACATGCTTGACATTAAAATTTTGTCAGTTGGTCCCGCTTGCCTTCACCTACCTGATGTTTAAATTTTGTCACGGTTGGCCTCCAAACTTCTCAATCCGGTGCAATTCAACTTTGTCAACTTTCTCCAATGAAACCATCCCTAAAGCAGAGGCATTGCTTTTCCTGCTCATCCCAGTACCAGCTACTCCTTCCTGGAACCCTTCCTGGATTTCACTCATCCCATCCTCTGGCCAGAAATGGCCTCTGAACCCTGGAGCTCCCGCAGCACCATTTGCATCACAGCATATCTGTTATGTGTCGTTGCTTTCTGTGTCTTGGTTTCCTCCTGCTGCCCACGTCCCCAGACTGAAGCCTACTGGGACATGGTATTTTATTCATTTCTGACCTCCAATTCCCTAAGTGGAGATTAAATGTTAGAAACTTGACTTCCAGTCTCGGCAAGTTTGCTTCCTGTCCTCAAATCATTTCCTGGCGTCAGCCCTCCAGCCTATGAAATGAAGATAATCCCCCTTCCCAGTGTGCTTACCAGTGCTGCAAGAGGGTGACGGGGTGGCTGCCATAGCTGCAGCTGGCTGATGGCAGGGCCTGGCGGGGCTGGGACAGGAGGAAGAATGACTGTGGGAGCTGGATAGAGGGTCTCAGAGGAGGTGGGCCCAGGCTGCATGGACCCCCCACCCAGCCACCAGCCAGTGGAGCTTCTCTCTGCTACTTCTATCTGACATCTCTGGAAGCCTCACATTTCTCCTAAGGCTGCCTGTTCTGCTCTGCCAGGAGAGTAGGCAGGGGCCTGAGCTGGGGTGGGTATCTGTCCCCAACTAGCTGTGTGACCCTGGGCTGGAGCCTGCCTTTCTCTGGGGTCAGCTGCCCCCAAATGCTGATGTTTACCTAGAGCTTGATAGAGCTCTGCCTGGTTAGGAGAAGCTGAGAAACTCCAGCCTATTCTACAAGGACCAGGAGCACAAGGAGAAGAGTTGAGTAGGGGGCACGGAAGGAGAAGGGGGCTGAAAGGTGTAAGACTGTCCATGGGAAATGTACCAATGGCATCTCTGCCCAACTAGGCCCTGTGCCCACACAGTGGGGCTGAGGTGGTGGGGAAGCAGGAAGAGAGACTTCACACACCTCCTAGGCCCTCCCTAGACCTTGGCTGTGTCCCCTTCTTTTTCCCACACCCAAGGGAATATGGACCAGGAGCGTGGCCTGTGGATTGGCTGGGGTGGGGCTGAGGGGCTGACTTCCCTGAGTCAGGACCAGAAGGTCTCAGCTGGGAGTGACCGTGTGCAGATAGGAACTTAATGGACCCTGTGGCCTACCTGAGAGCCCCCAAAGGGGATGCTTGGGACCGAGGGAAACCTTGATGGGTGAGGTGTGAGGTGAATGCAACTGTACCATCCCACAGTCAGGGATATCCAGCATAACAACAGGCCTCCCAGGAAGCAAGAGCACCCCAGGATTGGAGTGTGGGCAGACAGCCACAGGGCATGGGGCATTGGGCTCCCTGCACACACTCCAATCCCCGAGTGCTGGCAGGGGAGGGCCCCATGGCCCCTGTGGCTCTCTGCCCCCTGCATGAAGACAGCTGAAGGCAACCCTGGCAGAGGACTTGAGGCAAGAGGAGGACTGCGACCTCCAAGGATGCCTCTAGTTACCACACATCCTGACCCCGTCATTCTGCCCCAATTCCTCATTTCTATGCCAAATATTCTCTTCCTCTCATCCTTTTCCTCATCAGGACCTCAGAGGAAAGCCCACAAAATGTGCTATCTCTGAAGATAGTTTATAACAAAGCAAGATCAGGGATGGCCTTCCCATGGATTTCAGGCACCTGGGAAAGAAAAGAGATGCTTTTCTCATAGAGAATAACTGCAGTCAAAACATCACATTTCACGGCGTTGAGCGTGGGCAGCAGCCCTGCCCATAAGCAAAGCCATTTCTACACTTCTCCCTAGGTCAGCCCTAAGGAAGAGTCCACCTTTCCACAGAGCCTGAGGGTCAGAGGAATTCTTTCCTGAGACCCCTGGGAAAGGTTTGAGCAGTGCAGGCAGGGAGCCAGAGCTTGTCAGACCTCTGGGAAGACAGAGCAACAGGTGGGACCTAGGCCCAGGCCGGGAAGTCAAGCTAGGGTGGAGAGGGCTTTATCCTGGCCTGGGCAGTGAGAGCTGCTGAGCTGCTCTCACCTATATGGCACCTAAACCAGCGACGGAGAACAAGAGGTGCCTGCAGCTAGCCCTGGCCCTCTCCGTTGAACGCAGGCTTCAGAGCACTGCTTGTTACATGCCTGCCTTTTGCAGCAAGTACCCACTCACACATACACAGAGAAAGGCATGAAAAAACAAATAGGACCAGGCAGAGTGGCTCACACCTGTAATTCCAGCACTTTGGGAGGCCGAGGTGGGCAGATCGCTTGAGTTCAGAAGTTCGAGACCAACCTGGCCAATATGGAGAAATCCTGTCTCTACTAAAAATACAAAAATTAGCTCATGCCTGTAATCCCATCTACTCAGGAGGCTGAGGTGAAGGAATAGCTTGAACCTGGGAGGCAGAGGTTGCAGTGAACTGAGATTACGCCACTGCACTCCAGCAAGACTCTGTCATCTAAAAAAAAAACAAAACAAAACAAAACAAAAAAAAACAGGAAACTTGCAGGCACATAGCCAGACTCATTTAGACAGTGATACAGTTGCGTCACCTCCACATACACAACCATATACACTATGCACAGCCCACATAGCAGCACAGACACATGCACACATATTTCCCAGACAAACAGACACATGGACACACACAAATCCACGAATGCTAGTGTGACAAGCCCTGCTGGGTGTCCCTTGCCTGACATCCTATCTGTGCATCAAGGGCACAAAGTCAGGGCCTCTGAGCACCTAGACCCTATTGGTGCAGCTCAGGCTGCATCTCACCAGCCAGGCTGGCACACCAACAGAAGTTCCTCATGGGGCAAGATTTCCAGAGCTCTAAAATAGAATTTCGTCCTCTGTGTCTTCAAACAAATATCCACCTTCAGATCTAGAGCTTCATTTCCCAGGGGACCAGGAAACTCAGAGTCCTTCCTGATGGTGGGGAACGGGGGCCTTGAGGAGAGAGAACTAAAGGCAGAGCTGAGAGAGACTGCGCATGCGGAAGGCACAAGGGCAACTTGTGCAACATCAAAAGACTGTCAGATGGCAGGTGACACGTGTGCTATGACGAGGCCATCAAAAGTTCAGGGTGAGAAAAAACAGTGGCAGAACACTGCTTGCCTGCTCAATCCTCTATCAGCCATTCATTAAAAAAAAAAAATACTTTCCCATTCATTCCAAAAAAATCTACTACACTCTGAGCACAGGTTGAAGCACAGGGGATGCAGAGTTTATGCATGGCAAAGTCCCTGCTCTCATGGAGCTTACATTCACCCAGCCATCTGTTCTCCTCCCCCCCATTCCATCCACCTAAAAATTTCCCTTGCTGTGTGCCCAGTTCCATGTTCAATTGTGCAGGGCAGACGTGGTGGGACGTGGGCAGGTTGCACCAGGTGGTTCTATGAGGTGGGAAGAGCAATGAGTGCTTTAGAAGCTTTGGAAAGAAAGATGCCATTTGGACACGGAGCTCCCTGGGGAAAAGCTCCTCAGTGGATGTGTCAGGGGGCAGGGAGAATGCCAAGCGTTAGAGACCTGAAGAGAAAAGCACTTGGGCACAGTATATCAGTCAGGAATCTTTAGGTTGCAAGTAACAAAATGACATGACTTCACACTGAAAGGAATTTATTG